TGAAGTCAGTTTCACTATTCCATCTTCAGCCTGCTGTTGGTCTGGGCTCCTGAACTTTAACCCTGCCCTAATGAGATTCCTGTGTGTCTTGGTGGCTTGTGGTTTTGGACTTTGCATATGCTACTTCCAGCATTATGGGGAGGTTGGTTATTTAGATATATGCTTGCCATTTAGAGCAGAATCTGATGGTATTAATTGGGAAAGAACTTACAATGACAATTGCCATTTACATTGAAGACATAAACAGCTTCTTGGGTATCTAGTAAAATACAATCTATTAAACCTTGGGTATCTAGTGAGCTTAACTAGTGCTTTTATCTTTATTTAAAGTTACTGTGTGGTTCTCACTGTAGATCAGGCTGGTCCACTTCCTGTCTCCAGGAATCCTGGAATTAAAAGGGTGGGTTTTGGGAGTAAGATTAGTAAGGTACTAACTCAAAAGCTGGAATTTGGGGTGGAATTTAGGCTGCTTTGGAGAGACAGTAAAGTGAGCCCGGTCCCTTCTGGTATTCAAGTGCACTAGCACTTAGGACACTCTCTCTCTCTCTCTCTCTCTCTCTCTCTCTCTCTCTCTCACCCTCCCCCCTTCCTCCCTCCCTCCCTGGAAGGAGTGGAAACTTAAGATCAGGTCAGGTGCAGGAGTTGGGGTTAGGAATTGCAGTCTCAGAATGAGGGTTAGAGGGTCATTAAAAGTCTTCCTATTACCTAGTACGGGAGGACCAGGTCTAGAGGTGTTTGCTGTCTCCCTTGTGTGTGCTGTTCCTTTACAAGGTCAGTCCCATGCCCAGCCTAAGAAAAGGTGAGTGGGGAAAAGGTGGGTGCACTGCTTGTTCCTTACAGTGCTCTCTGGGGTGGTGCTAGGAGCAATCCTGGACCTTCAACGGAGGCAGCCTTCAATTGTGCTACACTAGTTGGTCACTAGGGGGCATCACTTCACCAGCTGATAGTTCAAAAAGCCTGAGAAGTAGATTTGAAAATTGATTAATTTAGAAGATACAAATTAAGAATTTTGAGGGTTTTTTCCCCCTAAATTAGGAAATGGCTGAGACATATGTGGATGGGACAATTTGTGTTTTATACACTGACGATTAAAATTTTTTGTCTTGGTGTGCATGTGATAGGGGTGGCACCAGTAGGTGCAATAGCTTGAGAGCCTACCACCCTTACCCCTGAGCCTTTTATTGTTGGTGGTTTCTTTTTGTTTGCTCCCCACCCCCACCCCCAGAGGGTCTCTAGCTTTGGAGCCTGTCTCTGAAGTGCTGCAATTAAAGAGCCAGGCTTAGCATGTATTGAAATCTTGTGGTGTGACATCTTGGATTTTTACTTTTGAGACACCATCTTTACAGCTGTTTAAGGTGTGCAGCACCATGCCCTGTGAATCTGCCTTGAAACATTTCTGTTCCAGTAAAGTAACAATGGGCACAATCAACTCATCACTGCTGGAAGGTAGTGCATACTATAGGAAACTTTAAGGCAGTTGTGCTGATTGCAGATTTAGAGTGACAAGGGTACATTGAGATGAATAAAATTGAGGAGTTGCCCAGGGGAAAGGTGATCAGGGTCAGGATGTATGGGGTAATAAGCTCCAGAGGTAGTTTGGATAAAATGGGGTCTGACTAAATGTGATAGCTAGGTGTTGATAGGGGTGAGATTGTTGCAAGGCAGGTGTGCTTAACACATATGTAGTCTTTACATCACATTTAAAACACTTAAGGGAAATACAGGAAACTGAGAAGCATGGTCTGAGTTTATGGCAGAACATGACTTTGGAGCAGTGCTGAATTGTAGCCCACATCACACATTTGTCAACACCTCAACATTTGTGATAGGGTGGTTATCATGCATGCATGTACCCACCCACCTACCCATCCATTCCCTGGCTGGAACTGTTTGGGTGCCATTTAGGTAGGATATTTGGAGTCCTTACAGGGAGTGACATGAGTGTTGTAAGTATACATTTCCACTAAAATGCAATCCCAAAGCTCAGGGATCTGGATAAGAGTTCTTGTGCCATGAGCCTTTAGTAAACTAATTATGTCCAAGGAGTCATTTTATTTATTTAATGATTCCTTGATTATCTCTGGAATGTTAACTTTGAAGGAAAAAAAAGACCACTATAGCCAGTAGCTGTTGAAATAAACAGAATTTCAATATACAAAGTTCTGTAACTTAAATGTACAGTAATTAAGTTCATTGTGGTCAGTGTACAATTATGAAAGTCCAGTCAGAATTAAGTGAATGCGTTTGCAAGTAATTTAGGTAAATAGCATGTTTTACATTCTAGTAAACTGTGGGTTCAGTTTGTTGTTTCATGTCTTTGTCAACCACACCTGGCTTCAGGTACTCTGAATTATATATTGGGAGTGTCCTTTACAGATCACAAGAGGGCGCCATTCTGCTAAAATGCTGGACCCCTGGTCGTGTAGGAACTGTAATGCTCACTTGTTCTACAGAGGCAGGGGGAAAACAAGTTTAATAGTCAGAATTACAAGTCTATTCACAGATACACAAGGAGATATTGTCCTGTATAATTGCGTTAGAAATATTTATGCAGTTCTAATGCTTAAGAGGCAGACGGATCTCAAGTTCAAGACCAGCCTGGTCTACAAGAAAAAGTATTGAAAGGCCAAGAAATATAGCTAAATTGATTTTATTTAGGACTCAAGATTGGTTTGGAACTGGCCCATTTGATCAAGCATTGTGCCTTGGAAGAAGGTTGGAATCCTGTTACGACATTTCTGCTAGAAATTCAAATTAAGTTTTGATTTCTTAGCATGGTACACAAAGAAAGGAGTACTTTATCTTTCACTTTCTCTTTGCTTGGATTCTTGCTGTGGCAGCAGCCCTTTTCTGACCAGCCCCACTATTCTGTCCTACCCTTATGGTGAAAGTAGACTTAGAGGTTTCTTTCCCAAACCAGAGTTTCTTTCCCTTACCAGGAAGCAGCATCTCTGAAAATGTTTAAATACAAAAATGGTAGTAGGACCTTCCCAAAGTCAGATTCCAATAGTGTTTGTACGACACCCGCCAAGCCTTATGTGTGCTGTAATACTGGCAAACTATGCTGCTACTGTTGGCTGAGGGCAACGTTTGATCCAGAAGGACGCCCAAGGGACCAGAGATGGATGATTCCGCTGTTAGGAGCACCACTCGAAGAGGACAGAACCCACAAGGCTCACAACCTAAATTCCAGCACCAAGGGATCTTCTGACTTGCGCTCACATACATACATACATACATACATGCATGCATGCACACACACACACACACACACACACACACACACACACACACACACACACAGCACATAAAGAAAAAAAACCTTTGAGCTCGCGGGCGGGGAGGTGAATCTGGCTATTGCCTGTGCCCCCGGGGGTGGGAAAAGATTATACCTGGAGTGAGGAGTGAGTCCACCCTTCTTTCCCTGCCACTACATAAAACCAGTAGCGTTATTGTTTTAGTGACTGAGAAAAACACGAAGCACTCTTGGGCTTTGTTCCCTGCCTGAGATGTTTATATAGCTTCGGAAAGTCAAACCACCGAAC